CCCTTCAAAATGGTGGGGGGGGGGGGCACTTGAACCAAAGCTTGTTCGACGAGCTTTAATTCAAGCGCTTCCACTGCCATTTTGAAGTGCAGGGATGTGAATACACGAGACACAGGAGCTCGGAGCACGGTCATTGCCACACTCCAGCAGACTCGATTAATGGAGCACTAGCCTGTGCCTCTCTACTAACAAAGGGCTTTAGATACCTCTTACAACCATTAGCCATGTATGACTCTGGCACTGAAGTTGTTCTGACTGCCTGTTTAAAATCAACCAAGCAGCACTTACTAAACCAGAAGCATTCAGAGAACCAGCTGCAACATCTCCCCAGCAAGATAAATCCTCCGGGGGGGAACATTTTTTAAAAGGCATTGATCAGCTAAAAGTGGAACGATGGGAACCCCTGAAGATAAATGACCAAACAACACAATTTCAGACTCCAAAACCACAGTGTAGTGGAGCCAGGCACATAAATGCAGGGACAGCCAGCTTGAAACAGCCCGGCTCACACAGGAACGGACTTAGAGTGAGGAATAAGAGACTTTCACTTGGTCTCTGATGACTCAAGTGTCATGGTGGAAGCCACTGTTTGAGGAGACCCTGAACTCCCTTTTACAGTGCAACTTCTACTTCCCTACCAAGTCAAAAAGTTTCATCACACTGCTCTGAAGGAAGTTCCCAACAGACCAGTCACACTTGGTGAGCAAGACAACGGCTGCAAAGCCAAGTGGAGGCATGCATACATTTCTCTAAGTGTAGGGGATATTCAGGGTACCAACATGAAGATGAAGCTTCTTTGAGTGAGGGGAGTATTATCAGATAGCACATCCTCTACTTACTGGAGTTATAGCCCCACAGACACCCATTGGTTCGTGCCTGGTAAAACAGACAAAATTCTCATCTGCAAAACAAAAAAGGTCAAAATATGAAGGATCAAAAAAATCAAAGCCATTATTGCTATATACCTTCACATATGTATTGCACTGGTCTGAGATTAAATCACAGAAACACTGTAACGCGCTTTTATATAAAACAGACTGAAGCCCTCTATTAATAAAGTCATTAAATTAGCTGATCTATTCTGAAAGGATCATGGAGGCAGGCAGAGATGGAAATGACATGTGCATGCTAGAAAGCCATTCAACTCCTAGTTACACATGGGATGAACGATGTTGTCTTTTATATGGGTTTGCTGAAGGTCGTCAGCGAATTTCAAAACATGCATCACATCCAGGTGCTCACTTCTTCCCAGACATCCCTTGCCCCTCAGACATGCCAAGTAAGAGTGCAGTTCTTCATTGATTTTTTTGGGCACAATGAATTATCAATGCTTTTTCCAATTAGATTTGGCTGAAGGCAGGATTTTCCAATTAATATTTCAAAGACAGAACTGTAAGAACAAATCTCTCCATTGTTTTATTTTAATTAGATTCAAAGCAAAAGTTTGCTTTACTTTATTTAAATAATATGGCAAAACTTGCAGTTCACAATGAAATTCACCTTAGTTTTTCCACCAGTAAACTTCAAAACTAAGATTTTTTTTTATTAATCAAATACATTTTCCTCTGATGATTTTCAGTGAACCCCCATTTTTGCTGGTAATGTTTGCTGGCAAGGTTTTGATCAGCTCTAAATGATGGATTTTGGATGAAACCTTGAGCAAGGAGCGAGAGCCGCTCTCTAGGAAGTGGATGTTTAAGCTACACAGAATGAGTGCGACAAAGCAATTTCCTTCGTCTAGGTCTGAACCACAAGTGGGCAAAGTCCAACCTGTGGGACGGATCAGGCCTGTGGCAGACTCCAGTTCCCAGGAGCCCCTGCCCGCATTGCTGCAGCCAATTTCCATGGAGACCCCAGGAGCAGTGGGGCCATGACAGTGCCAGGGTTTCCATGGAGGAGACCAGCCAAAGCAGTGCTGGCAGGGCATGCAACTGGGCAGGGAGCCGCTCTGGGGCCATGCCTGTGACCTTGCCACAGTGACAGCATGGGCCAGAGCCTGGGCAGAGCTGCAATCCGCTGCCTACATGCCTTGGGCAGGGGTGTGCGGGTAGCAGATCGCAGCTCTGTCCCCAGCTCCGGTCCATGCTGTCACCGCTGCAAGATCCCGACCCTGGCCCTGGAGCAGCTCCCTGCCCTGCCAGCGCTGCTTGGACCCATCTCCATGGAAACCCTGGCCCACACCAGCACGGTCCCGCCGCTCCTGAAGTCTCCATGGAAACTGGCCACAGCGACGCAGGCAGGGGCTGCTGGGAAACGGAGTCCGACCACTGACTGGATCCGTCTTTTTGCCCATCCCGGTCTGGACTCTAACCCTTCAAGCCACTGCTGACTGTACAGGGACAGCAACTTCAGTCTTTCAGAGGCACCAGAATGAGGAAGCATCCTCTAAGCTCTTCCTTGCAATGCTCTTTTCTGCCAATCCCATCGGGCATCTTAAGTGTAAAAGAAAGGAAGAGCAACAAGCAGCTCCGTCACAAGGCCAACACCCTCGTCATTTTAACAAAACTACTTGCCGCCCCTGAAGCCACACCTGCCCTCACTTAGGTGCCCGCTGACATCTTCTCTTGGGTCCACCCTCCTAGTCCCATGACGTGGGTGTCTGGGGCAGAGGCAGCACATTAAACACCTCCCCTACAGCTTGCATCCAACCCCTGTCCCCTCCACACGCATACAGCAGGTATGCATGCAGAAATAAATCTCTCACGGCCATGCAACTCCATCTGGGAAGGTGCATTTTGCAGGCACTGAGTGGGATTCAAACACCAACTCTGCTCCCCATCACAATCCTTGTCAAGTGTCAACGGATGACTTAGCTAACTTCCCTGTCAGTGCAGGACTGGTCCTGCTTAGCTTTAAAAGAGCCAAATCCTGGGGCTTCCAACATTTATTTCCTCACTTTCCTTGTAGGACTGAATGGGGGGACCATACTATTTCCCTTAAAAAAAGGTTGACAGACCTTGACACCCTAAAGAATTTAACACCCATTTTTCACAGCATTTTCAAAATCCATCTTATACTATTTTAGCAGGGAAGGAATTGTCATAGCCTAGAGAACAGTCCTAGAGTTCTGCAGAAAGTGTAGAATTTAATATAAAATCCTAAGATGTTTCTATAAGGAATTTCTCTTCCCCATCCCACTCCCAGGTCTCCAGATGGAAAGTCCTTGCCCTGTTTCTCTTGATCTTTCCTCAGTCTGCCAGACTGAAGGAATTGTTCACTGCAAGCTAAGGATCACTCATCAAACTTACCGACTGGAATGGTTCTGCCTTGGATTTTATCAGCCCACCCAGCATAATATCGGAGCGTCTTTATGCAGCCTTCTAGGTCAATGAAATAGGCCTGAAGAAAAGGTTTCCCCGTGTCCATAGTTTCCAAAGTCTGCAACACAAATCACATGTACAGTCAAGTACTTCCTAATATTTTCTTAATTCTTTTCTATATATATGCGCTATGCAAAAGTCTCTTCCCTTCAATGCACGAGGTCAGTCTCACCCTCTTACACAGTGGGCTTGGATTGTTTAGTGTCCCAATAATCACGGTTCTAGTTAAAATAAAATACTTGGGGGGTGGGGGATCACAATCACTCCCAATGACTCTGGTGTACATCCAGAATCTCTGTAGAAGCATCATCTGGGGAGACCCTATCTGGGACCACATGGTTATGCATCATCAGCTGGGTGCAGATGCTCAGAAGTTATGAAGCCTTTAATGCAAGGTTTTATTCTCACACTTCTTCAGAAGGAGACTGGATGCACACTGTGTTGAGGCTATTTGACCCCAGCAGCCTTTTCTGCCCAGAGCTGGGGGGCTGGACCCAACAATCTCACAAGGTCCCTTCCAGCCCTAAACTTCTGTGAAT